TGGCCGATTTCCTGTTGCTTGGATCCTATGGAGCTGTTTTCTGCAGCCCTCGAGTATAATTTTTAACAACATTTTATCTGTTTGACGCTGCTGCGTGTAATCAGTCAGACTGAGGGGACTGAGACTTGTCAACTCTGCATGATTTTGATGTGTGCCACACGACGTGCGACTTACTAGCTTGATGATAGCTTTCGGCCAGCCACCAGTGTTACTTATGTTCTTATGTTGTGTCCTAGCTGTTATGTTATGTATATGTTCTGTTCGAATTTAGAACGAGGCTGGCATGATTACACCAAACAAATTTTATTAAGACAAAGTTTGTTAGCAAAGTTATATATAAATTGTGTATTTAATTTTGTTTCCAAATTTCATGATAAAATCTAATGAAAACGTTTGAAAGCTGAGAAACCACCATGATAACCAGACAACAGAATCTCTACACTCTGGAGTCTTGTCCAGTGGTTTAGAGGAGTTGGTATTCAGAGAGCATTTGAATACACAAGATTTATCGATCATATGGACATTTATAATTTATAAATTAACTACTTAAATTATAATCACACTTGCAGCTACAATCAGCACAAAATCTTAGTCTGCCTTGGCTTTATGATACATTACAAGATTTACCTGATATTTTCTCTGCACTAGCACTTGCTGAGTGGCTGCAACTCTGTTCTCAGGCTGTATACGTGATCCTGTAGTGCAGAGATATCCTGAACAGCACCTGCACAAAAGTGCAAAAATCGAAATAAAGAAACCATGCACATCGTGCCCACATTCACTCACGCAGACAATTTAGATGGTAATTGACTAATTAATGCATGTTGAATAGCAAACTAAACACTTATTGGACCTTATAGAGTACCTATTCACAAACAAGGAAAATGAATAAATAATAAACTCCTTGCCGTACGTACAGCTACATAGAAAGAGGGTAGATGCTGTTAATGGCGTTCTAATGGCTTCACACTCACCAACACTATGTAACCAGCGTCCTACGTTAGCGCCTTATATTACCGGCCCTCAGCCTATAAGTGCTCATCATGCAAAACATCGTACAGAATTCCTATAGTAAGCATATGAAACTACAACCGTCTTCGATGTAGGTACAAAGATTTCTCATTCATTTACATCCCACTCTCTTAGAGATGAAACATTAAATTATCATATAGAGATTGAACACTCCATCCTCCGACTACAGCAGGGTGGGTACGTATAATTAGTGTTGTGTATATTATTATTCACCAAAAAACCACGCTATTAACGCCATTTCACTCAACGTTGTTTCGTCGTCGATGACGGCGACCACAACGGCAGACGGTCGAGAAAAAAGCACCACTGTCACTGAAGCGCAGCTATATTATAAAAAACGAATCTATGCGTGAGTAAATATTTTACGCCGTTTCTTAATAATGGATGTTTACCTTATTTATTTATTTAATTTTTTTTTGAAACTTAGGCGTAAGTGCACTATATATTGTTTAATATATGAAAGCTATTGGAAAAACGATCAGATGGCAGAGCACTTCATATAACGTTGTTTCAGTTAAAGTGGCAGTTTTCAGGAACCTAGCTACGATGTTAATGGGGCAAATTGGTGTAATTGGTGCAATTCTTGCCTTGTGACTGTGCGTGGACTCGTGCAGATTGTGTAGCAACGTCAGCTTTTCACACTCTGATTGCTCCGTTATCTCCACCTCCTTGTTGTGAAGCTTGACATGTACAGACCTGTATACAATAACAAGACAGAAATAACATATACACAGGAATGAAAATGACAAATTGTAATCATTTCTCATTATTCACCCTTGATACACACCATATTGTATATGCTACATATATGTGCATGTTACACTATAGTAACAATATATAGGCCTACACTACTATGTTTAGGATATAGTTAGTGATATATAACCACAGTAAAGCTCAGTATGACAGTTAATAAGCCTGATTACTTTATAAGCATTCATGTTTTACACATTTTATACTATTATTTAGATGAATATCCGATAATATCAGGAGTGTATAATATAGAGTGTATATATCTTATATTATACCAGTAAAAAAATGGCGTGCATTTTTTTTCCGGGGTTCTTTGCAACCCCCCAAAATGGGGGCTACTTTTTCATTTTCCAGGGCTCTTTTTCCACTTTCCAGGGCGACTTTTTTCTAGGGCTGTTTCCTCAAATATACACACAAGCACAGTAGCTAATACACACTCGCGGGCGCGCGCGCACACACACACACACATACACACGTCATGCGATTAAATATTATAGACATCTGCGCGTGCGCAACTGTTAACGGACAAACGTTTGGCGCGGCAATAAATCGATCTTTAAGCGCATATATATTACAGTACAGTGGCACTCTGTAGCTGCGCATATAGAACTAATTGACGATTTCCTATATATATATATATTATATATATATATATATAACTTACGCGTATATATATATATATAACTTACGCGTAGGTCATAGCGTTAGATATTATAGCGTGGTCGTTACACACGTGTCATTTATCCACAGTTACGCATGCGCACGTAGTAGAGTTAGGAATGCACGGCAGTACATCATTACAGCTAGGGCCAGTAAATCACGTTGTTCTACGCGTCACGATCCGAGGATGATTGTTACTCTTGCTGCTAATTGTCTTATACGTTAGTATTGCCGTTAATTGTTTTTATACGTTAGTAATGGGGGTTTTGCGTTTGGCTATTTACTGTGTACTATCTGACTTACAAATCTCCGCCCTCTGTACACCCAGATGGGCGTATGAGTTGAAATATCACTTGAATTTTTTATTAAGGAAATGACATGCGGTTCGCATATATGATGGTTCCGAATGTAAACATCTCGTGTGCCTGACAGGTGTGAATCTTCAGAATCTTCAGAATCGTCTATCGCAAGTTGGACCCGCTGTACATCGCCCGGTAAATATTGATATGATTATAGTTGACGTTAAAAATGTCAACCCGCAACTTTTTATACGTGAACTCTTGATTTAAGATCCGACCAGACTGAGAAGCGCCTACAACCCGCGCGGCCACGCTCTATAGTCAGCAATAGTTATATATATAGTTATATTAAAAGGAGACACGCCTTCTTATCAGGTAAAGCAATCACGAGTCGATTAAAAATCAGCGACCACGAGGAAAATCGTTCTCATTTTCTGCGACGTTTTGTGGTTGCATTATTTAGGCTGGCTATCGTGTGTGACAATGACATGAACATTGAGATGGGTGGATGGTTACTGGTAATTTAAAACGAATTCTTTCAATGTATGGCCCCCATTCGACTGCGCGACTGTTTTTCAGGCAAAAATGTGGTGTCGGTAAGTAAATTCGCGATATTTTTGTCACATATATTTCATATACACATATGTCATAACTCTAATGGTGCACAGCTGAAGTACATGGCTACCTAGCTTTAATATTGCCACTCGGCCGAAAACGGTCAAAATACTATTTTTCAGCTCCTGAAATTCAATTCTTAAGTATAGGATCCTATGGAGGATTTAATAGTGGTCTGTTCTCATACGTAGATTGAGCCCATGAGCGAGAGCGCCATCTGTCGTTGAGTTTTGGTAGCGTGTAGCGTTCCAATTGTAGAAATAGATAGGTCTACAACTATATACGATGTTGTCTATCTATGATATTTCTATAGTTCCAATGCAAACATATACAGAATGTATGTACATATACAATCAATCGTACGACACTGTGGCTCCATCTTCTGAGAATTTTTAGATTTTTTGAAGCGTAGCTACGGGCGGTGGAGGAGCAAGGATATACTGTACTGAGTGTACTCTGTAGTAAGTTTGCACTTTATTTGCGGCACTATAGTCTGTATTTTATTATAATAAATCTTATAATAATTCAAGAGGGATATTAGAGTAATATTAGAGTATAAGAGTAATATTAGAGTATAAGAATAATATTAGAGTATAAGAGTAATATTAGAGTAAATATTACTGTGGAACAAACTTTTAAATTGGAATAAATTTCAATAATTCACACAGCGGAATTTGGTTGTTGACTAGTTGTTTGAAAAAAAGTCATATATTATAATGACAAACCCCTCCCCCCAAAAAAAAAATTTGCAGAAATAGAAAGAAGGACACCTCAGGTCCTTAATTCCTATAATTCCTGAAAAAATTAGGCTGATATATTAAGCGGTTTATTTCATATGATTTCTTTAAACGCATATACATGAAATTTGCTTCGTTGCAAAAAAGTATTTAGCACACAGAAGCGAACATTAGGGTTTTAAATACGCACCACGACTGTGCTGACATCTATGGATCGTGGTAAAGCAATGGTCGTTTGACGCGACAGAGCGTGTTACCATGATAGTAGCTACATACGTAGCGCAAAAACGAAGAAAAAATTTTAATATTGATAACAAAATCAACTATTAAATGTATCTTACGAAGACATGGCAAATAAATATTGAACTTGAAGATTATCGCATCATGTAGGTAGGCCCTATGAGTGCATCTCCTAAACAGTACTTTTATGCTATGTTACAGCTGGGGAGCAGCCTGGGGAGACAGTGGTTACATTTAATTACATGTCAAGGAATAAGGATAACCGATGTGGAATTTGTCATAATGATTAATGACGGTATAGCGCCCTGTAGGAGAGTTGTCTATCCTTTAGTTCAATATTTGAGAGCCAGGGGGAGCTACGGGAGTTCGGCATGGCGGTTTGTAATCTTGTGTTCTGCTCAGCTACGTTTCCTACATAAAACGAATCTACATGAAGTTAAATCTCTTGATTGGGTTTACACAATCATGACAGAATTGCTACAAATGCCAGCTATCCAAATGTTTGAATCGGCGCATTTATGTAAATCTTACGTATATCCGACTTGATTCGCAATTCACTTACTCTCAGTCTGCATCAGTGACGCCAAACGATGAAATTACGTATAATATTTTATAGCAAATCGAATGAAATAAGAAAAAAAAAGATATAGGTCATCTAAGAAAATGCTAACCATTGTATGAAAATATCTTTATTGTATAAACATATAAAAGTTTCGGGACAATGAGTAAAATTATGGTCAATAATACTGACAAATACTGATATGAACTATAGTGTGACAGTACCTACAGTTATATGGTTGAGCCTCTTATAGATTACTCTTCATAGTAACACGTACACTAGCGGGTATATTATATAGCTAAAATAAGTGGATGGTACCAGTCTGTATAAGATGTTGGCTTGCACAATATGTACCAATAAAAAGTATCTTGTTGCTATGAAACATTACGTAGGCCTGTATATATATCCAGCAGACACGTTGGCTGATAAAATTTACATTTTTGGCACTGTTACTTTTTACTATGAACTCGTTGCCGCGATTGTCTCTACAGCCCCGTCTATAGCCATAGTTCCATTTTATTCATTCAGCTGACACAAGAGGGCAGCACCTTTTGATATCCAATAATCTTGTGGACGCTTGCTTGGCAGATGCACGGGAACTACAAAGTTCGTGGAATGACCTAAAAAAACAAATCACAATAAAAACACCATATATCCAAATCTTACAAATACATAGATTTAATAAATAATAATGATATCTATTTTCTTCTATACGAAACGGAACGAAGGGTGTTGCAATACTGGGTTTGTTAGCGATCATATAGTTTCCCGGGCGAGGACAGACGGGTGTACGTGCATACCGGTAATAGAGAGAGTTCCTGCTCGCGCGGAGATACATACCGGTAGTAGAGAGAGTTCCTGCTCGCGCGGAGATACATTAGCGGTATGTAGAGAGGAGTTCCTGCCTCGCCGCTGGAGATTACCAATACCGCGTAGTAGAGAGAGTTCCTGCTCGCGCAATGGGGGGGGGGGGGGGGGGGCGCGGGGGGGGGGGGGGGGGGCGGGAGATACATACTGGTAGTTAAGAGAGAGTTCCTGCTCGCGCGGAGTCATACCGCGTGTAGAGAGAGTTCGGCTCGCGCGGAACGTACATACCGAGTAGTAGAAAGAGTTCCTCTCGCGCGGGCAGGTACATACCGGTAGTAGAGAGAGTTCCTGCTCGCGGGGTAACATACCGGGTAGCTAGAGAGAGTTCTGCTTGCCGGAGGTACATACCCGGTAGTAGAGAGAGTTCCTGCTCGCGCGACGGTACATACCGGGTTAGATTAGAGAGGTCCTGCTCGCGCGGGGGTACATACGGTAGTAGCAAGAGTTCCTGCTCGCGCGGAGTACCTACGGTAGTAGGAGAGGAGTTCCTGCTCGCGTGGAGGTACATACAATAGCGGTAGTAGAGAGAGTTCCTGCTCGCGTGGTCGAGGTTAATACGGTAGTAGAGAGAGTTCCTGCTCGCGTGACGCGTACTACCGGTAGTACGAGAGAGTTCCTGCTCGCGCGGAGTACATACGTAGTAGAGAGAGTTCCTGCCGCGCGGACGGTACATACGGTAGTTTAGAGAGAGCTCCTGCTCGCGCGGGGTACATACGCGTAGTAGAGTAGAGTTCCTCTCTGTGGACGTACATACTCGGTAGTAGAGAGGTTCCTGCTCGCGTGGAGGTACATACTGCCGTAGTACGAGAGCAGTCTCCTGCTCGCGTGGAGGTACATACCGGTAGTAGAGATGAGTTCCTGCTCGCGCGGAGGTACATACCGGGTAGTAGAGAGAGTTCCATGTCGGCGGCGTGGAGCGTACATACGGTAGTGTTAGCAGAGAGTTCCTTGCTCGCGTGGAGTACATACTGGTAGCCTAGGGGAGGAGAGTTCCTGCCTCGCGCGGGAGGTACTACCGGTAGTAGAGAGCGCTCCTGCTCGCGCGGACCGTACATTACGGGTAGTAGAGAGAGTTCCTGCTCGCGCGGAGGGGGTAATACCGGTAGTAGAGAGAGTTCTGCTTTTCGCGTGGGCGTACATACGGTATGTAGAGCAGAGTTCCCTGCTCGCGGAAGGTACATACCGGTAGTAGAGAAGAGTTCCTGCATCGCGCGGAGCGTACCATACCAGGTAGTATGAAGAGCCCGAGTTCCGGCCTCGCCCGGCAGGAGATACATACGCGTTAGCTAGAGAGATGTTCGCTGCCATTGCCGCAGTACTTTAAGCTTTCTCGTAGCGTAACATACCTGGTAGCATCTAGAGACCGGAGTTCCTTGGGTGAGCTTGAGTGCCGCGTCCTTCCTGTAGCGCAGACGTGACATACCGGGTAGTAGAGAGCGAGTTCCTTGCTCGCGTGGGGTACATACCGGTAGTAGAGAAGAGTTCCTGCTCGCGCGAAGGTACATACCGGTAGCTAGAGAGAGTTCCTGCTCGCGCGGAGTAATACCGGTAGTAGAGAGAGTTCTCTGCTCCGCGGAGGCTACATACCGGTGAGTTAGAAGAGAGTTTCCTGCTTGCACGCGGCAGGGTAACATACCGGTAGTAGAGAGAGTTTCACTGCTCGTGCCGGAGGGTACATTACGGTAGTAGAGAGAGTTCTGCTCGCGCTGGGGTACTTTACGGTGTAGAGAGAGTTCCCTGCCGGCGCGAGCGTACATCCGGTTTTGTAGCAGAGAGTGTTCACTGCCTCGCCGAGGGTGCAAACCGCGGTAGTTAGAGTAGAGTTCCTGACACGCGCGGAGCGTACATACCGGTGTAGATGAGAGTTCCTTGCTCACGCGGGGTACTGACCGGTTAGTAGAGAGATGTTCCTGTCGTGCGGACGGATAATACCAGCGTAGTAGAGAGAGTCTGCTCGCTGCTGGAGGTACATTCGTATTAGAGAGACAGTTCGCTCGCCGGAGGTAAACAGGTATGTACGAGAGAGTTCCTGCGTCGCGCCGGAGGACATACCGTGTTAGTAGAGAGGCTTGTCCTGCTCGCGACGGAGCTACATACCGGTACGTAGATGAGGTTCCTGGCTCGCAGCGGAGCGTACTACGGTAGTGAGAGAGTTCCTGCTTGCGCGGGTGGGTACATACGGTAGTAGAGAGAGTTCCCCTGCTCGCGCGGAGGCGTACATTACCGCGTAGTTAGAGAGAGTTCCTGGCTCGTGCGGAGGTACATCCGTACTAGAGAGAGTTCCTGCTTCGCGCGGAGATACATACCGTAGTAGAGAGAGTTTCCTGTCTCACGCGAGGTAGCATACCGGTAGTAGAGAGAGTTACCTGCTCTGCGCGGAGTACATACCGCGTAGGTAAGAGAGGTTCCTGCTCGCGCCGGAGGTACATACCGCGTAGTAGCAGAGAGTTCACTGTCTCGGCTGAGCAGGGTACATACCGTTAGTAAGAGAGAGATTTTCCTGCGTTCGGCGCGGAGCGTAACATACCGGTAGTAGAGAGAGTTCTGCTCGGCGGAGTACATACCGGTAGCTAGAGAGAGTTTCCTGCTGCGCGGAGGTACATACGGATGTAGAGAGAGTTCCTCGCGTCGCGCGAGATACATTACCGGTAGTAGAGAGAGTTCCTGCTCGCGCGGAGGTAATACGCGTAGTAGAGAGAGCTTCCTGGCTCGCGTGGAGAAACGTACATCCGGTAGTAGTTTTTTTTCCTTTTTTTTTTTTTTTTCTTTTCGGAGCAGAGTTCCTTGTTCGAACATCGTCCAGGCTGGAGTACATACCGGTAGTAGAGAGAGTTCCTGCTCGCGCAGGAGGTACATACCGGGTAGTAGAGAGGTTCCTGCTCACTAGCGGAGGTACCATACCGGTAGCAGTAGAGAGAGCTTCTTGCGTCGCGCGGAAGGATACATACGTAGTAGAGAGAGTTCCCTGCTTCGCTGCAATAGGATTGCGATACATTACGGTAGTAGAGAGAGTTCTGCTCGCGGCGGAGCGTACTACGCGTAGTATGAGAGTTACTCTCGCAGCGGACGGTACATACCCGGTAGATAGAGAGAGTTCATGCTTCGCGCGGAGGTATACCCGTAGTAGAGAGAGTCTCCTGCTCGGCGCCGGAGGTACTACCGGTAGTAGAGAGAGAGTTCCTGCTCACGCAGGAGGTATACCTCGGATAGTAGAGAGAGTTCCTGCTCGCGCGGACGATACATTACCGGTAGTTAGATGAGAGTTCCTGCTGCGCGGACGGTCTACCGGCGTAGTAGAGAGTTCCTGCTGCGCGGAGGTACATTACCCAGGTAGTAGAGAGAGTTTCCTGTCGCGCGGAGGTACATACGGTTTTAGTAAGAGAGGTTCCTGCTCGAGGCGGAGTACATACCGGTGTAGAGAGAGTTCCTGCTCACGCGGAGGTACATACCGGGGTAGAGAGAGTTCCTGCTCGCGCGGAGGTAGCATACGGTAGTAGAGGAGAGTTTCACTGCTGCGCGGGAGGTACATCCGGTAGTCGAGAGAGTTCCTGCTCGCGCGGGAGGTACTACGGTAGTAGAGAGAGTTCTCTGCTCTGGCGGAGTACATACCTCGTTAGTAGGGGTTCCTGCTCGCGGCGGACGGTACATACCAGTAGTAGAGGCAGAGTTCCTGCCCTCGCGCGGGAGGTATCATTACGGTAGTATAGAGAGTTCCTGCTCGCGCGGAGGTAGCATCTACCGGTCAGTAGAGAGAGTTTCCTGCTCGCGGCAGGAGGGTACATACCGTGTAGTAGAGAGAAGTTCCTGCTCGCGCGGAGGTACCATACCTGGTAGTAGAGAGAGTTCCTGGCTCGCGCGGTAGGTACATACTGTAGTAGAGAGGAGTTCGTGCTTCGTGCGGAGGGTACATACCGGTAGTAGAGAGAGTTCCTGCATCGCGGCGGAGGACTATCGCGTAGTAGAGAGCAGTTCCCTGCTCGCGGGAGGTCACTACCCGGTAGGTCAGAGAGAGTTCCTGCTCTGCGCGCGAGCGTACATAACCGGGTTAGCTCAGAGAGAGTTTCTCCTTGCTCCGCGCGGAGGCTCTACATACGGTAGCTAGAGTGAGTCTCTCTCGCGCGGAGCCGTAATACGGTAGTTAGAGAGAGTTCCTGCTGCGCCGAGTACATACGGTAGTAGCAGTGAGTCTCCTGCTCGCGCTGCGGAGTTACATTACCGGTAGTAGAGAAGAGTTCCTGCTGCGCGGACGGTAATCATACCGGTAATAGAGAGCAGTTCCTGCATCGGCGGAGATACTACCGGTAGTAGAGAGAGTTCCTGTTGCGCGAGGCTTACATACCGACGTAATAGATGAGAGTTCCTGCCTCCGCGCGGAGATACATACCGTAGTAGTAGAGAGAGTTCCTGCCTCGCGCGGAGGGTACAGCGGTAGTAGAGAAGTTCACTGCTCGCGCCGGAGGTACATACGCGTAGTAGAGAGAGTTCCTGCTCGCCGCTGGAGGTACTACCGGTAGTTAGAGAGAGTTCCTGCTCGCCAGCGGATAGTTTACATATCCGGTAGTAGAGAGTTCACTGGCTCGCGCGAGGCGTACATCGGTAGTAGAGGAGTTTCCGGCTTCGCGCGGAGGTACATACCGGTAGTAGCAGAGAGTTCCCGGCTCGCGTGGAGGTACCATACGGTAGTAGAGAGAGTTTCCGGCTCGCGTGTGACGGTCATACCGTGTTAGTAGAGAGGTGTTCATGGTCGCGCTCCGGAAGGCTACATACCCGCGTGAGGCGACGTTCCCCTGCTCGCGCGGCAGGCATACATACTTGGTTAAGTAGAGGAGATCCTGGCTCGCGCGAGGTACATTTACGGTAGTAGAGATGAGTTCCTGCTCGCGCGGAGGTACATCCGGCTCGTAGGAGAAAGTTCCTGCTCGTCCGCGACGGTACATACCGGTAGTAGAGAGGTTCCCTGCTCGCGCCGGGAGGTACATACGGTAGTAGAGAGAGTGTTCCTGCTCGTGCGGAGGTACATTACCCGCGTAGTAGAGAGAGTCTGCTCGCGCGGAGGTACATACCTGGTAGTACGATGAGAGACATTCCTGCCTCGCGGTGGAGGGCGTATACCGGTAGTAGAGAAGAGTATCCTGCTCGCGCGGAGGTCAGTACCCGGCGTCCAGATAGAGAGAGGGTTCCTGCTTGCGCGGATGGGTAATACGGTAGTAGAGAGAGTTCCTGCCTCGCTGTGGACGGATACATACCGCGTAGCTAGGAGAGAGTTCTGCTCGCGGCGAGGGTAATACCGGTAGCTAGAGAGAGTTCCTGCAACGCGCGGAAGTACATACCGGGTAGTAGAGGGTTCATGCTCACGCGAATACATACCGGTAGATAGAGAGAGCTTCCTGCTCGTGCGGAGGTACATACCGTAAGTAGAGAGAGTTCCTGCTCGTGCGGGAGCTACATACGGTAGTAGCAGAGAGTTCCTGATCGTTTGCGGAGTACATACCGGTAGCAATAGAAGAGTATCCTGCTAGTCGCGGACGGTACTACCGTAGTAGAGAGAGTTCCGGCTCGCGCGGAGGTACATACGGTAGTAGATGAGAGTTCTGCTTGCACGGACCCGGTAATAGAGAGAGTTCCTGCTCGCGCGGAGGTACATACCGGTAGTAGAGAGAGTTCCTGCTCGCGCGGAGGTACATACCGGTAGTAGAGAGAGTTCCGGCTCGCGCGGAGGTCTTGTAGAGCGGTGCAATGTAGTCCTTCTCGCTCGGCGAAAACAGCATCTTTGGCTCCATGTGCATCATGGGCAGCTCTCCGTTCATCTCACCAAACAGAGAATCTGCAGCGAAAAGCGCGCCATCTATGTCTATACATCAGGGATATTACTACGACACGACACGTACGACAAAAATTCATGGCTGTTCCACATAATTCATATTAAATTTCAAGCTACAAAAGATTCGTTCAGAGCAGGAACCGATACCGTTTCAGTGCAGGAGATTTATGTAATATATAACAATTCACCTAGCTCTAAAGTTCGATTTTTGCAAAGAAAATAAATGCTTAACTATATATTAATCCATCATAATTACTGAGGAGTTCAGAAACATGACCATGGGTAGCCTGTAGAATAAAGCTTGATATTGATAGCTAATCGCTACACTTCTACTTATTCATTAATTAGTACTAATTATTATTTCTATAGAAAGTGTATGCGTAGCTGCACGCACGGAAGCAAAGAATTTACACGCGTCTGCCCAGCCTCTTAGACTGACTCCAAACGTCGCCGTGGCTGCTCCCACGACGCGTCGACACCAAAGCACGACTTACGGGGGACAGTCTAGCCGAGCCCTCTACGTACGTATCGTCCCCGCCCCCTGAGCGCCCCGCTCCCGCTCCCCCCGCACGCGGGTCACCTTCTAGGACCATGCCGTCCATGTCCCAGCGACACGCATCCATGTAGACTCCGTGCACGAGCACCCCGTCCTCCACCGGCGCCACCTCTGCGTCCTCCGCCATAACCTCGCCCGGCTGCAGCTGCCCCCTGGCGGCGTAGTAGTCCGCCATGCGGCGCACACGCGGCAGCACGTGGAACTCGAAGCTCAGCTGGTCGATGGGCAGGTTGTACTTGCGCGCGTGGTTCTGAAGCGTGCCCGTAAGGAACCCCTGAGGGAAGAAGAGCCCCGAGAGCCAGTAGGACACCGGGGGGCCGAGACGGATCCACTCCTGCAACGAACGACGCAGCAGCATGTGAATCATTATCACGCGTGCGCTCATCTATAGAGCATGATTAGATAATACACTCATCTACAGACGATGATTATACATACACTTGTGTGTGTCAAAAACAAAGTGTGTGTGTGTGTGTACCCACAAAGTGACCATTTGCTTGCGAAGTAGGCACTAATCCAAATTACAACAAACAACAAGAGCAAGAATAACAACAACAACAACAACAACAAGCCTGCTGACAGAGATACATACAAAGCACTATAAACTAGCTGTAGCCATATTTTTTCAAACGATCAAAGGTCAAAGCACAACAAGCTTCCTCCTGTCTGAATCCATCATAAAAAATTTTATCTGTAAAGTTGGAACATCTCCCGTTGCTAACCTCGATGAAGGTTAGTCTGAGCACGAGATCGCTGACCCAGCTTCCCAGTGGCTTCAGCGAGGGGTAGGCAGCGTTCGACCACTGCGCGGGAACCTGGTTGTTGAGAAAAGCCGTGTAGATCATCTCCAAGTCTTCGCTCATCACCACAAAACCCTTGATAGCTTTCTGCAGAGTTTTCAGTGAGTCCTGCAAACGATGAAACGATGGAAACACCGCCGAGCTCATGTGCGATATCATAGCATTAGTTTATTCTAATTCTCTACACGTTCTAATATTTCTACATGTAATATTTCTATTATTTCTAAAAAAATTAAC